AGTCAATTAAATAAAATTATATAATATAGAATATTAAACAGGTACACATAGTTTATATATATATGAATAGTCTGCTTATTAAAAGATAATTATTGATTCTTTGTACTCTTCTTATTATTAACTTTTTATGGCTACAGCTAGGATCATCAACACGATTAAAGTTTCAGTTTTTATCATAAATATATATTTAAAATTTTTAAACATGTAATTGAAGAAAAATAGTTTTCGAATAAAATATATGAAAGTCGCAAAACGTCTATAACTTGTTCCAAATCAGTGGCGTATCAGATGTCAAAACAACTTGTTAGCACTATCGTTATTGCGACTTGGTTAGCATTTTATTGACAGTTATTATAGTATTTTAGTTGGTTTTGCATATTTTATTCCACTTCACTGGTAAACAGATGTCTAATATCTCAATAAAACTATGTAATTTGCATTTACCGACAGAAAACATGATGAATTATTTCAGTAACCCTAAGCGACTGCATCGCACAGGGTGATAATTTATACAACTCTCGTCTGTCGTAAATTAATTGCGAGTAACTTGGTAATAAAGTGGTTTTATGTTTTTCTCAAGCTCCAATACAAAATTGAATCTATACATACTTATTGTATATTGTGGTATACATTCATTTTTAATGTCTGAGTATTACTTAAAATTATTCCTGATGAAGTATTCAGAAGTGTCGATTTTCGCTTAGGTATAGACAGATCTTGAAATGTCCACATTTTATAGGGAATATGAAAAATACTATGACAAGGGTGTCTCATAGATTAATTTGTGTTATTATAAATATCTTGCTATCTTTTAAATGTAGGTACACACAGACTACATACAGACTATAGTCCCTGTTTTTTGTAATACCTTGTTCTCTGATAATAAGGACAGAAACCTAACCTTATAAGCGCGAGCGCGAACTTCTCTTAAGAAGTATTACATTTCGAAGTTTGGAAATAAGGTATTTGTTCTTTCCTTCTTATATTCTGTTACACATATATAGCTCACAAAGCTGCAGAAGATGAAAGAGTACCAGAGCAAAATAGAAGTACTTGACCAACGCCTTAGCTTACACGTTTCAACTTATACTTTAATGGACACCTATAATAATAGATTCTTATTATTATATTTATTTTCAGCAAAAAAACCATAGAAGGTTATAAGTAATATTTCACTGCGACTCTTTATATTTTCAGGCAGGGGTAACAACGGTAGTATAGTGTTGTTATATGTGTAGACGAATATTATAGCAAATGCGGGCAGTAGTTACTCATTAACTATTACACATTGCCATTGAGTTGATAATGATCATAGTACTTTACATGTAATATATCTACTTGTATATAGTTAGGTATATTTCAAACAACAATATTGTGCTACAGCCATAAAAACAAAATAATTGTACGGTCAGTTGAAATCGTACTAATCACCTAGGCAATTATTGTCACACAATTACAAGGTTCGTAGTCGTAGCATGTGACTTGAATATTTATAATAATAAACGTAAACTACGACATTATAATATCTACTTAGTTGAATCTTCCGCGTCAGCTAATTACCTACGTATAGTACTTGATCGAGCAAACACAAATTTCAACTGACTTCATAAAAGCCTGAGATGTGATGTTTTTAACAATGTATGTTACTTGACAATTTATTTCCACTCAAATCGATTCTGATGATTATTTTTTTGTATGAGAGCTGATGACTTCTCACGTTAACCTATATAAAATTGATCAAGACCTAACCAGCAGTTTTGAGGTACACTTAATATTGAATGTTTTCGGTACATGTAATTTGCTACTAAATATGTATTTTTCGGAACGTTAATTACATACCCAGACTGCTTTTAATTTTTTCTAAGGACTTCCAAAAGAAGAACTTTTTGTGTCTGTGTATGTCAAAACGGAATAGATTTTAATGATTGTGTACAAAAGAAGGAAAAAATGTGTTTAATTGGTAATACATGTAAGAAATAAATATAAAAGAGTATAATGACAATTTTGAGTCATAATGTGTTAATCGTTATATGATAAAAGATCGTTTTAATTATCTTTTTTATACTTTCTGTTATTAATAGTCATATAAATTCTTTTTAATCTATATAAATTTACACATGGTTAATATCGATTACTTTGTTACAAATAATACGTATATATATATATTTCAATTTCTGATAAAAGTTAACGTTATCCCAATACTTTGTCAGTTTATACTTGTTAAAACAATTGTGATTATATTAGGAAATATGTCTATTGAAATAAACTTATTTTTAATATTATAATATTCAATAATTATAATATTTTATTTTATTCTATTAGCTCATTCGGAGTGCATATTTGACTGTGTTTTGACTACTTTTGACTCTAATGAAAATACGGGTATATTGTATTAAATTACCGCATTTACGTATAAAAATAGGTTTTTAAAGTAATACGGATGCATATCTATATTCTTATATGCATTTGTCCTCAGTGTCTAAGCACGTGCAATTATATTATCATTAATAATGTAAATGTAATCTTCACAATAGACAGGTATTCTGACGTAGGTTACTGCGCTATTAATTTTACTTATAGCAACTCCCACAGCAACTACCTAACTTTTTAATTAGGTACTTACATATATTATTTTATATTACATGCATAATATTATTTCAAATTAGAAAGTTCTTTTTGGGAGTGATGTGATGTGTCAAAGAATTTTCAATTTTCTAACTTCTACATGACACCGATGTTTTTGGTAACGATAAATATGTTTTATTATTTCGTGAGATGACGGTAAGCTTACACGTTCCATGTATATATAAATATATATATCATCTCGCAAAATCTGGGCAAGTTTACGGCTACCTATAGTTAAAATAGTAACAGGCAAAGATAAAGTTAAATTTCAAGATATGCTTTCTACGGATACATACACCTTAGTCTTCAGGAATAGCAACGTATTAGTATGAATTGATGACATGGCGACGTAATGTCCACGCCCATAAACGATATTGCCACTTTTCGTCAGGTGGTCGTCAGCTTGTTTCTTTAGATTCTATTTACATATAACAAATGATACATCGCACCTGGGATTACTGTAGTTAGTTCAATTATTCTTATGTTGTAGGAATATTCTGGACTGAACGTATTAAGCACACGTATATTATAGTCATTGTTTGCACAAATAAAAGGTTAAAATCATTTATATTCCAACAGTATGTTGAATTTGCATACAAAATTACGATTTTCATGTGCAGCTAAGGTTCTTGGTGAATTATTCGAGCCAGTGGAGCGGCGATTTCCTATTTATGCTTTGCTATTGTGCCTTTATTTGTATCAAGGTAGTCAGCGTAAAGAAACACTTGTTAGATAAGTTTTGAGTCACCTACCATAGTTAGTATGAACTTTGAAATACTTTTAAATTACTAACAAGATTCAACATTGGTAATAAAAGAAAACAGGACCTTGTAATACATATTCAAAAAGATTATTATCCTTTTACATATATATAATTGAATCTTTTATATTCTATAGTGTACCAGCATATTCTATTGAAAAAGCAACACAATTTTTTTTTATTTGTATCTATTTATTATTTATAAATTAAATGTTTTACATATTCTTAGTTCTGTAGCGTTCTTCGGCATCTTAATTTTTTTCATAAACGCACATATATAAGTCAAAAATCATAGAAACTAATTCAGTTCATTATTTGAAAGTCAATAAATATACACAAAAGTGTTTAATAACTTTCTAGCAACGAACAGAACACATGAGGCTTTCTATTATGATTAGCCGATGTTCATTGCTTTCGTAATGTCTGATTTCGGTGTATGAAATATTTCACTGTTGCAGTTGTATATTATTATAATAATACGAATAATGCAGAATTCATCAACATCTCACTGTAGTTATTAATTGTCTATTATAAACAGATTTTATATATATATGAAGATTACAATGACAAACATTACACCGACCCCAAATAGGATAATGAAGAAGCTGATGATGATGTAAATTACAATGACACTGGCTTAAACTTTAAAAAGTTCCATTACAATTTAAACAACTTAATTATCGTAGTACGTAAGAAAGCATGTGATTATATTATATAGGGTTCGGTTCTTGCCTAATATAATCATTTTTGTTAATAAGTATGATTGTACATCATTAATTTGTATAAGTCAGATTTTTTTCTTTTTTTGAATAAAAATCCATCTATTTCTACCAGCTGTTTTGTACCAATTGTACAAGTTCTGTTTAGATGAGGACGAGATGATACTGTGTAAATTGTTCTGGGATATTATTATCTTATTATATCTATCTATATCTTCTTCCTCTTACTGCTCAGCCAATATAGACGTAGTGTAATGCCGGAAAGAACCAAGTGCGTGTATTTATTATGTATTTTATGTAATTTTAATTTATTGTTATACGCTATGTGTGGCTAATTCATTCTATTAATATTATTATTATACCTTATATTGACCTAGTACATAAAATCTTTAAATGAGAGTAAGTATTATATTACAACCTATGCTTGTTATATTTCCATACAGTTAATCTAGATTATCTGTTATCAACTGCCTACATTGCATAAACAGTACCAGCTATTTGCATATAGAACATCGCAAGACCACCACACGTTTTCTATTTTTCAATCGTGTCGCTGGTTCCGCCTTTCGATACTTTCCTTTACTTAACATGTATGTACAAAACCAACGTAATATAATCTGCCATACGTCTCTCGACGGTGAATTACTGGTATAGAACAGTCGTATGAGTGTACATAACCACAGGCCTCAGATAACTGGTTTTCGGGTAGCGGAAGGCGCCTTAAGCCCGGACAATGGCCGTCCCACTACGTTCCCAGCTCATTACATATTTGTTATATAGAACTATTACTATGTATTAAGAGTTGATATCTTATTATGAGGACTCGATAGACTATAAATCTACCAATTACTCCTAGTATTTGGTAGTTTTATAGTCATAAACATAAAAACAATAAATAAATTATGCTGCTTTATATTATTTTAACAGTACATACATAGCCAATTTTATACAGAAATTAAGAACAGTTTGTCGCTTCGACTTTTAATCGTTTTACACTCTCATATGTTGAATATATATAATTGCCATCTGCGTCAATAGCCACTCCGTGAACGTCGTCGTTCAAATCGGCAATCTTCTTAACAGTATTTTTAGTTACTATGGAATAAATTTCACTTGTTGTTGAAAAGTATAAATTACCCTTAACATCTGATGTAAATCCGTTGATGTTATATTCTCCAATATTCTCGGTTACGTTGGCATTGTCAAGTACAAAGAGTCCAGATGAGTTGCTATAGTAGATATTATTATTATTGTCTACCGCTATTAACAAAGTTTTGATATTTTCCAATTGTTGAACTTTTGAAACCACTCCATTTTTGTATACATACGCTACTTCATCTGGATATATAGTAGTATAATAAAGATAATCTTTAAAGAACATTTGCCAAATACTCTCTTTTGTAATGTTCAAAGAATTTGCTGATTTTGTCTTATAATCGAATTGATATATTCCGTTCCTACCTCCCATATAAACAATATGATTTCTGGTATCGACTGTTTGAGCAAAACCATCTGGTATCCCTGTGACTTCACCTTTTTCTTTAGTGTTGACATCCATATACACTATTTTAAAATATCTTTTTGCTTTTTCTACTGTATAACTAAAAAATAATGTATTAGTATTTGCATCAAAGGCTAACTGATAAGGGGCAACAAAGTTGTCAGCAAGAGTTTCAATTACGTAATGATTCCTTTCATTAGAGGCATTGTCACAATTGCTATTACCCAATACTTGACTTATCAAAGGTAATATAATACAGAAGAGTAAATACATCTGGAACAAAAAAATAAGATTACTAACATGTGAATATCTATTTATTATACTACATAAACACAAAAGAGACATAGAAGTACATATTTTAAACCTATGCTACGTACCTATTATTATATATATTATTATATATTACATTTAAAACATATTTTGAATGACTTTTTTTAAATTGTTCTGTACTATCTATATAGCAGTTATTTGAAAAATGACTTAAAATAACGAAGTTAAACTTAGGTTATTTAAAAATAAATAACGGTTTTAAAACATACCTAACCTATATATACTTGTAGATTGTGATAACTATAATTTGCTACAAATTACGTCCCACCGCTTATCTAATGTCAAATGTAATTATATTGTTTTTGTTTTGTTTAACGGGTATTTCCAAAGATATTTTCAATTATCACAGTTAATGTTTAATGTAGTTATTTTATATATAATATTTTTGCTTTACTTTGAATGTTTTACAGCGGTGATTGGTCCAAAATATAGAAAGATACTCCCTATTCATAGCCCTGACAGAACTCTTGACTTATAGAAAATAAGGATATACTTGTTGGATGGACTACTACAGTCCTCATTTTAGCGAGATTCTGAACCCAGTATTTCTGTACCATTCTGAATCAGCACATACTACTGCTATGGAGTGCATTGATGGAGTTCATAATATGCCAATAATTGAAAACCTTGCTGACTAGTCTACGTTTGATGAGTTTATGAAATCAGTAAACAGATTGAAAAAAAACAAAACACCAGAAGTTGATGGTCTCCCAGTCGAAATTTTTAAATACGGCGGTACAAATGTTATATCATAGAATGCCCTGTAAAATTCATCCACCTTAGACGTGGATTCCATGATAATATGATAGCAAAGGTGAGAGATGGCAACGAATTGTCGGAATCATTTCATATGACTAGCGGTGTTAAGTAATGTTGCGTTCTAGCTCCGACATTATTTTCCATCTCCTTCACTGAAGTTATAAAAGAGGAATCCAGGGGATACAGCGATGGCATATCGCTAAATGTTCGTAGTTTTTGACATATCTCGTTTTAAATCCTAACGCCGTACATTTCTCTACTGTATATTCTTTATACTGACAATGTATGTATACTGACAGACTCCAGGGAATCTCTTTAAGATTTTATGGATGGTCTATCATCATCATCATCATTATTTGCATTTACTATGACGTAGATACCAGAAACAATTCATATATATGTGACTGAATGGGGAACATGACTACTATTTTATTAAAAAAAAACATGAATAATAATGATAAATGTGTATATGTATTTCCCAAAAGGGCTCACAGTGAAAACGTAACAAGAACTACTCAAAAGTGACATATAAAAAACAGATATCAAAAATACAAAGTTAATAAAAAGAATTGTAGACAAGCTGCCAGCAACGATATACATATTATTTATATATATTTCATTTGATTCTTTAAAGGTCTATAGGGTTCATAGGCGTGGTAATAATTTACCTTCCGATGGGATTTAATCTTCATTGCCACCACTGATTTAAAAGGAAATCTGTCCTTTATTCCCCAAATTAATAAAAGGCTTAATAAACGTTACAGTTTACAGAAAATTTATAAAGAGAGGATAAATTATAAATATGTTACTGACAAACACATTATACAGTCTAATCTTTTTTTTATATAAGTTACGTATTTATTTAATAAAAAAAAATAACTACTTACAATTAACTGTTGTTTACTCTCTCCGTTCATCAGGTGTCAAACTATTTATGTCCGATGATTAAATAACTACTGCGAGCGAATCTACATGTATATTATATGCATTCTATCTGCTAAAGAATGTTATCAATAATGTGACCTCATATTAGTGTAAACCTATTTGTTAAATGTGAATATAATGTTGCAGTAACTGTAGGTACGAAGTAGGTACAGAATATATAAATATATTTTTCTGGCAACTTATTTTAACTAAATAAATAATAAAAAAATAATAACAAGCAAAAATAATAGCAAGCCTCGTAGGCTTGCTATTATTTTTGGGTACATATGTAATAATAGTTAGTTTATTATCTCATTGTATTACGTTGTCGATATATCCACAATAAAAATATTGTAAATGCAAAAATACTAGTGTGTCTGTTTTTTTATGTAAATGGAATGTAGAATAAGTTAGAGTCTCACCTGATGGTAAATGAAAAGTAACAGTTTCCTATATAGAATAGGAATATTAGGAATCGAACACGCGACGTCCGGAAGTAAGGCGGTGTGCTACACCGTTACACCACCGAGACCGTAAAATCTATAGAATATAAAATCAGTATTTTCGTCATATATTAATAATTATTTTTCTTATACTTTTACTAGTATTTATAGTGCGGTGACGATAAATACCTGATACAAAATGCACTGGCTTTGTAAAATATACACTTCGGTGATACTTTGTCGTCACCATCTAGTTGTAGTTAATTTATGGTAAAATATTTACTGGCGCCTCTGTTTTAGACGGTCAAAACCAACAAGGATGACTAATGGCGCTCAACCGATAGACTCGTTAATAGGAAATGAATTTACCCGCAGGTGTATTGAACTCCTGGGTGTGAAATTTTTTACATAATGATTCGATAGGTAAGTACTGTACAGTATGTGGATAGCCATCACATGAAAGAAAAGTTTTAGAAATATTGATAAGATAAATTTTTAATTTTATTTTTATATATTGTTTATTACATTTCGTAGTTTTTAAGTGTAGTTTAGACACATCATGATGTAAACTCAATATGAAATTTGATATGAAGGTATACGGTATTACGAGGATATACACAATATCTTTGTTTTAAAGAAAAAAAATATCTGTGGACAATTAGCGCCATCTAGTCCCATGGTAAACAGACATTGTGTTATAGGTACTACACAACTGATATAAATACTTATATTTTATTTTATAAATATATGTACACAATGTAATAAAAACACCCAGACCGACACAAACAATCATACTCATGAATACAAATGTTTGCACCGTGCTAGGAATCGTACCCGCGACTACCGGAAGTAAAGCGATGTGCTAAACCGTTAGACTAAAAAATATACATAATTATACAAATTGTATATTTTACCACTAAACTTTTGAATTTGGAACAGTAAATATATTTAAAAAAAATTAAGTAAGTTTTTATTTTTTTTATTTTGTGTTGAAGACGTTCGTCAGATCATTATCAGATCTTTATTTCTACGATGCATTACTTAATGTACAATATATATTTAATATTCCATCGATATAATACATAGCAGGTATTACTACCTACTTTCGGTTAAAATACAGAAAACAGAACACGATCAAAGTGCTACTGCGTGGGAGGAGGTAGCTAACTTAATGAAATACATTGTCTTATTACTTTAAATGGAGGTACAAGTTTTTTCTGCAGATATGTTGGACACATGTAGACCCGAGTGGGCGGATGATATCCGCTATCTCATTTATGTAGGTAGCAATTTTTATCCTCGATATGTTGGTTAATTTACCTAACTGCTGCACAAAAAACTCTATCACGTATTAATTATAAGTACCTGACAATTAATAAATAATAATGGTTTAATTACACCCTACGAACAAAACACAGCAACAAGCTGTTGTGCGGCTGAAAATTCATTTCCACCAGTGAATTATTAGCATGTACCTACACTATCAGTTGTACGAAAATCGCATCTGTATTGCATGTGGATATGATTTTCGTTTGTATGTATTCGTAATTGCTTTGTCGTTTTAAATAAGTAAGAAATCTGTTGTCTTGGGTCTATTTTATTTAATGTAGCCACGTCGGTAAGACAAGCATGTGATGTGTATTATGCGTTATTCCTGAGAAAATTAAAAACTAAAGATTTATTAAATATATGAGGGTTTATGTTATACTATTGCCCGCCCCCAAATAATGAATAATTTCTCTGTCCTGCCCTTCAAACTAGAATATAGATCGCAAGCTGACACTGAAATAGCTGAAAACTGGAAATGCCTTTGTACAAAGTCTACATCTGGCAAAAGATTTGCTTGCGTTGCTACTTCATTGCAAATATACGAACTGTAATTTTGTAAGTTCAGAATTGTAATTTATTCCAACCCAGACACCAAGCGCCGTAAGCTGGAATCTGACTGCTAATGCTTATTTCTGGCTGATTCTCCATTGATGGTAAACTCTGGTGGCAAACCAATTTTTTCTGAGAGACGGTAGAAAAAATTGGTTGGTACACGTTTCTGCTGCATTTGATTAAAATGTACACAGCGAAATATGTGCATGTCTATTGTTGCGTTCACCATGACGTCAACAGTATTTCTATCATATTCATCTGTTATTATAGTCATGAAGATATATTATCATTAATAAAGTTAATTGTTAACTTTAATTGCCCATAGATTTTTATAATAACATTATATAAGACAGACTGTAGGCAATAATGCAGTAATCTATGTGAGTATGTGAGTGAGAGACAATTTTGCCAAACAAGGACAAAGACCTTGAAGCCCACTCGTGTTCAATATTGGTTGTTTTAATGTGGGTAATTGCCTTCTTATTAAGAATTGTAAGACCGCTGCTCCCACGTACGATACAGTCCACCTAATTGTTTTTCGGGTTTTATTAGACATATTTTTTTAAAATCCAAGTATACAACTAAATAAATTATTTTGTCGTTACAAGTGTGAAATTACGATATTATATAATGTATTGGAGCAGTCGGCATAAATATATTAGGTGGTAGGTGGTTAAAGTCAAATTTTAAATGTGCAATAATATATCTATCTACGTAATGTAGACTAGTAGTAGCTAACGAATGATGTACTTCTTCGCATCAAAAGGGTATGCATTGCCTAAAGGGCATATAGAATATAAGACTAGATAGATGGTTACTGTAGACTTGGATTGAGTAATACATGAGTTACGCCATTGTTCAACAATGTATTGAGATCAGCAAGAATTTTCCACAATAGAATTAATACTTATTATAATGATGATAGATAATTACCATGTACTATATACATAATTTATAGCAACCCACAGACACGGATACAAATTGATTTCGCATCGTATTGTATTACATATACAATAAGAAAAATAAAAATTTATCTTGGGTATTAAATATTTTCCCTAAAAGCTCAAAATAGTTGAATTGGTTTTGTCTATATATAGTTTCAGTGTTCCTACATGAAATTAAATTTTTACCGAAAATACTACAGAGAGTTTGACAATTGTCCACTTGATGGGTGCTGTTAGAAAGACTTTAAAGTATAAATATGAATCTTTTAATGACTATTTTGTAACATTACAGTAATATATAATACATATGAAAATCATAGTTATATAGATTGAGGGGTACTTCTGACGTCTATGTAATAACACAATTTAAACTAAATATAATGTTTATAAAGCCGTTACTTTGTAATTTTGTGTAGAGAATAACTATTGCTTGAAATATGCATATGGGAGTAGTATTAATTCTATAGTATCTGAGACTTACATTAACATTAAATCAGTGTGATTAATCGATTACCAAGCCGATGAAGTGATGTCATTCCTTAAGCAACCATCAGGCTGATGTTATGTTAAGGTCGGCAAGCGCATCCAGTCATTTTCTATACCATGCTTATTATACAAACATGTAATTATTCATACTATGAAAATATCTAAATAAGCAAAGGCTATCAACTAAAGACGTTTTAAAATAATGAGCTATATCTCTACTACAAGTTACCTTTGCTTATTCTAATAGTTCTTATATATCAACAACTATCGAATAACGAATTGTATGAAGGTTTTATATTGATAGATTAATTGCATTTTCTAGAGGATATGTATTTTCTGATGATCTAGATTCTTTGTAATAGAATAGACACTTTTAATCCGCCAATTTGCAGATCTATAGGAGAAAACTGAAAAGCTGAAACGAATAGAATAGAATAAATACATTAGAATTAGTAGTTCTAACTGTGGGTGTATGCAGGCGATCTAGGCGACAATTGCATTCTCATAAAAAACTAACGATTGTGTTGTAGCAAGACAAAGATTGGTATTACAAGCTTATACAACATACTTTTGTAGTTACCTGTCCGAAAATGGAACACAATGTAAATGCATCTTTGTTACAAAGGTATTAAGTTATAATGTATGATGAAACAAAAAGAATATACCATACATTTCCCAAGTATCTATTATTGAGTGGCCTATTTATTACTGTGCTCTTGGTATGCATCGAATCTCTGTTGTGATCCGTGTGTGAGTTATGTGGCCGTTCACTTGTATGTCGTTTTGTGTCATTACCTGCCGATGCCGACCCACGGGACCAAGGGACCGCCGACGCGCCGTTGTCACCGATTTATACATGAACGATATTAAACGCTCCAACGTACGAGTAGAGAGCGTATAAACGCAATGAACTATATTTATTAAAACCCTTGATTTAATTACGCCCTGATTAAGAACTTTTTGCGGATTCCTTTAGCAAGTTAAGGTAGAAAAATAATTAGGTATCTGTTTTGTTTTATTTAGCGAATTAAATATATATGTTTATTTTTGTAACAGATAATCAAAATTTGAAATAATTAATTTATTTTTATTACTTGACATATCTGTATAACGCGACGATGCTTATGTTAATTCGGGTAAATAGTATCCAATATCTTAATTTAGGATATAATCTTTTTATATTCTAAATTAAGGTAAAATCCATTTAGCCATTTAAGCGTTATAAACTAACAAACAACCAAACTGTTCAAATATATTGTTACTAGAATGAGCTGTTAAAAACGCCAGTGTAATAT